TAAATTAGGAGAACACATTGGGAAATTAACTCTCCTATGGAGTAATCTGGGACATCTCCTGCCAAGTCTATGGAGTTAAGCACATTGACACAAGCTACAATATTGCCTCTCACTAAAGTTGTGGTCCAGTTTAAAGAGCATTTGTTCAAAACATGACCTTGCCGGTAGCCGGGATCAGCTCAAAGATGCAAACAGGAACGGTGCCCATGGAGAACCCTACGGGTGCAGGGATGTGTCCACATAGAGCCAGGGCATGGCGGGGCAGGGAGGGAGCCAAAGAGGGGGGTAGTGTTATTTCTCTGACACTTGTCTAGAGCATCTCCTGTGCAGAGTTAGGATGCACATCTCCAAGGCTAAACAAGATCAGCATAGATTTACCGCATTAATTTGCTCAGGTCTGTAAGTGTGCTCATTGCATCAGGCCAAGAAGTTGCAACTGGAAACATTTTCTATTGGAGCAGTTCCCCAAGAGAAACTCCGGTGTCTGCACATGAAAACTTCCAGGGAAAAAGATCAATTTTGCTAGTGCTTTTCAAATTAAAAACTTACTGAGTAATTTGGTTTTAAGTCAATTTGGTCTGAATACATTGGGTTCAAATAAAAAACTAATGATGCAATAAAACACTGATCTGCAGTTTCCTATCAGTAGGATATTTCCAGAGCAGGGAAGGGTGTGAATACAGCCCCAGACCACATTCACATCTCTGGACTGGCTCCCTGTGAGTCTACCACCTCCCACCATGCAGCAAATGTTTTCTTCTGACAGGATTTACACATAGCATCACAGGTGTATGTGCTCTGCAAGAAATGGCATGCAGGCAGGGGCCAAATGGGGCCAAACCCCCACACTCCAGATTCACTCAGGTGCAGAAACATGGGCCCACACTGAATCAGCCCCAAAAACTGAAATGAAGCATACACTAGACCAGGTTTGCACGCATTAGTAGTACTTATTCACATACCAGTTTGCAAATAGAAAAATTAGGCAAGCTTCCAGGTATACACACTATTCCTCCGATCACCTTCACTTCCAAACTGCTGGCTTGCTTATGCGCTGGGACTATTGCAGCTACCCCATGACCACTACAAGGAACAAAACCACCAAGAATGGACAGCTTGGGGGAGAACCTTCCTCTGTTTCTGCATTCTTTCCAACACCAACCTATATTTAGCCCTTTCCTTCCAGAAGGCCACGTGCCCCACCAGGATCAGGGTCACCTGCACTCAGGACCTCCAAACACTGCAATTCACATGCTGAAGAGCCTGTCAAATAAACGCTCTTTCTGCAGTAACCTACACCAGGTTATAAAGATTACCGTTTGCTATCTGACTAAATATCCAGAATGCATAGGACTTAAACTCTGTGGAGCAATGTATTTACATGTGATTAGACAGAATGACTAGGAGTAGCTTTTTTATGACACTCCAGTTTCCCTGAAGGTTGGAATTTTCTTTCTTGTTTAAAATAAATTAAGCAACTCACAGACATGGAAACATACTTTTATTTTGGATCACAACAGATCCAAATGCAAAAATGCAACTTTATGGGTCAGAAAATGACTCACAAACCTTTCAAATGAGAAGGATCAGGAGACCGCAGCACAAAGCCTTGGCAGAGAGCTATTCCCACAGCAAACGCAAAGTCAGCCTGGCCCTGTGGGCTCCCTTTCAACTCACAGCAGACTAAATACATTACTGCTCATTGCAGATGATTTGTGGGTAAGAAATAGCAGAACGAGAGCTTCCACCAACCTCCCAGGCCCCATCATGACAGCACAATGGATGTGTCTGCCCAGATCATGGCGACAGAAGAGCTCAGGTAATGATGATCACCAAAGCCCCCAGACCCATCACCTCCACCCCAGAGAGGACCAGCAGCAGAGGTGAGCCAGCAAAAGGCTCCCGGCAGGGTAAAGCGCTGGTGGCAAGCCCAGGGATGGAGCACTTGCTGCAAAGAGCAGGACAGGAGCAGATCAGGACAGGGAGAGACCCCTCAGGGTGACATGGGACAAAAAAGCCCTGTCCACACAAGCATCCTGCCCTTATCCATCCTTATACAGAGCTCTCTAGCTGCCCCAAGCAGTTGCAGGGGTGGGCAGCAGGACAGCTGTGCCCACTAGCAGGACCCAGCCACAGGGCACTGCTGCACCACATCGCTGGGACCCTCGGGGTGCCAGGACTGTGCCAGCACTGTGCCAGCAGCAGCACCCTGCCAGGGATGCCCTCCCGAGCCTCCCCCTGTCCTGACTCCTGGCAGCCTGAGCGTGGCCCCAAAGCAGAGCCAGCCCCTCGCCGTGGGAAGCCATCCTTGCAGAGGGAAACCATCTCATTCCCAAAGCTGGGAAGGAGGCTGAGCCTTGCACCAGGGCAAAAGGAGGTCAGGCAGCCGGGAGCATGGCACCCAGTGGACACTGCAGCCATCAGGCAATGGGGAGAGCCACACTGGGCTGGACCGGGGACCCCCCGCAACAGCCCCACAGGAGAGTGCCACTTCACTGGGCCCAAATCCTGGCTTTTGTTTGACAGCAGGCCACACCTTGAATCCCCCTCGCTGCAAAAATAACCTTAATACTACAAACTGGTGCTTGCACCAGCCCAGCGAGGTATCCAAGTTGCCTGCAATGCCTCTTCGTGCAGTCAGCCTTCAGGAATGCCTTTGAGGGGGACCATCCCCTCCCTCCCACAGGCTGCCAAGACTTAAAGCCTCCTGGTGACACTCCCACAACCCTTTAGTTAAAACCTTGAACCTGAAAAGTGAATGCAAAGAAGAAAAGAGAGTTGACCTGAAGGTGACTCTCTTCTTAGCTTCCCTGTAGGAAGAAGATGCTTAAATACCCCCAGGCTGGCTCCCACAACAGCGTCCCATCATTTAAGAAGAGCCCATCTTTGTTTGCTCAGGTCTGCCTCCACTGAGGACAATTCAATGAGTCACACAATCCCCTACACTTCAAAAGCAAGGGGTTTCTGCTCTCATGCTTTAATGACCAGCCCGTGTCCTTGCAGCCTTGTCACCCATTCCACGTGGCTCTCGGGGCTGTGACTGGCATGTCACTGTTTCCCAGAACAGCCACAGGGAAGTCGGGAAGCCACACCGTCCTGCGCTGGCTCGCGGCTGACTCACAGGCATGTCCCCCTCTGCATCTCAGCTTCCCCTTCTGAACCAAAATTGCCCATTGCTGGGGAGTCTGATGAGACTGACAGCTGGAAGTGCACTGTCCCCTTAACCTTGAAGCCAGCTGTTTCTCTCTGTGCTATGTACCCACAGCACACACAAAAAAGCCGCTTTCTCCCATCCTTGCAGCAACGACCCAACCAAACCACGCGGCTGGAGATTTACCTCCCCACAGCCAGGATCTTACATCAGCCTGATCTCCCAGCTCAGTGCAGACCACCAGCCCGTGGGCTCTGAGAGGAAAGGATGTCCTGCTTGGCAGGGTGCCACCTCTGAGCCAGGGGCTGCCCCGATGTCACCTGAAAGCTGTGGGCTGGCACAGAGCAGGATGAGAGCAGCCACTCCTGGGGTATGGGCATGTGGCAGACGGGAAGTGCCCACTACACTTGTGACCAGCTCCAAAACACCCTGAGGAACAAGAGGGGGTTTGCAGAATCCATAAGCGTGGCTGGTCCAGACCTACTATCCTCTGTGGGGGAGCATGCATGTAGGAAAGCAAGTGTTTCATATTTTCCATGAAACTACTACAGTCCAACCTTAATGGATGTCACAGATCTCAATCACCTGAGCTATTAGAGCCATTTAAGCCCCTCAGAAGTGAGATAAGCACTTCATTACATCTTGACAAAGATGAGGCTTCACCTCTCAAGATCTCATAAAACACAGCCAGCTCTCTTTCAGTCACTTCTACCTAGGGGCCCAAAACTTCTAAATTAAATGTCTGGCTCCAAAAGCATTTTTCCAAATGCATGAGAAAATGCAGGAGTGCCTCATCCCACTGTCAGGATGTCACTAACAAACACCCATCTCAGCCTTTCTGAGTCACAGCACAGGATTAGCTGGGTAGGGAGACATCACGCAAGTCTGACGTCACGCTGGGACACGCACTGAGCAAACCCTGAAGAGGCAGCTCCTGCCCGACCGCCCCAGGAAGAAATAGAGGAGACAAGGAAGAAACAAGAGGGAAATGTAAGACAGAACTCATCAGCCGATGGTTACACAGCAAGGCGTGCTTTGGCCCAAATCCCAACCACTCAAGGTGAACAACTTTCATTCTGAACGTTTTCATCTAACTTTCACAATAGCTTATTATTTCACGGTGCTGCTGAGCAATGTTTGCCTTTCTCCTCTGTGCCCTGGGGATCTTTCCCAGATCCAAATTTCCACCTCTGAAAATACAAGGCCTTGAAACCAGGAACTCAGTAAAGTCACTTGAAAAGGAAAAAAAGCCGCAATATTCAATGAATAAATAGGTCCAGCCATTGTGAACCAATTTTTCAGTCTCCTTGGCTGCTTCACGACACAAATGTAACAGTGCCAATGTCTGAGTGATTCCAAATCTGGTTAGAGCATTTAGCCATGTACCAGCCACACGTTTTTAGAGCTATAATTATCTTTTAGATTGAGCTTCCTTATTTTATTTGAGGACTTCAAATCTGGGTGCTTGAAGACAAGAAAAGCAAGATGCCTAAAAAATAGAGACAAAACAATTGGCAAGGAAATCTCCCCCCAGGTGAAAGAATCTCAAGATAAAATGAAAGTAAGATGCCGCAAGGAAGATCCACATACTGTGTACAAGGGGAAGGGGAAAAGCAAACCTGTCTCAGTGCTGCCCAGCCTCCCCATTCACAGATTCCTTTTAGCAGCTTCTCATTAATTTATTCTGGTTACGGTCATTACATTTCCTTTTCAGACCTCTGACAAATGAGTTTAAAACCAAGTTAAAATCCGCCCGTTCAGTGCTCCTTGCTCCAGCAGAAAGGATCAGAATTGTTAGTATGTGTTTAGCTCCCATTAGAAAGTTAATTCAGAAAACAGCACTACTCACCTCTGCAAGGTAAAGGATGCAGAATTTCCGATCTTCTGAACCTATGAAGAAGAAAAAACAGGATCATAATTAAGCTACAACTTCATTTCTGCAAGCAGAGCCACCAGCAGAGGAATTGGCTAAGAGACAGCACTTAATGAATATTTATTGTTGTCATCCTACAGTACCAGGCTGTGATCTGGGAGTGATGTATGCTGCATCTGCAGGGGCCATGCACTGGGCAGGCTGCACTGCATGGTATTTTGCATGGACTTACTGCACTGTCATAGATTCTCCTTTGGGTTTGTCCTTTTGGATAAATGTTTGTTTCATTCAGAGGCCACGTGCTGCCCAATTCCTTCCTGGGAGCTGCAGAGGCCCTGCCAGTGCCCACGCAGCCATCCTGGGCGCTGGGGTCAGGTCTCTCACATCTTACCTCTGTGGATGCTTCCCAGGAGGACTAACCAGAGCAGCTACTATTCCTATGTCTTTGCTTATTCCCAGCTTCTTGCCCCAAGCCCTTGGTGACAGCTGTCTAGTTCTGTCTGTCCCAGCCTCCATCAGTGCCAGTGGTTGGGCTTGGTGCCTCTCCAAGGAGGGGAGCTGAATCCCAGGGCAATGGGAAGCAGCTGACATGGGGCAGGGGAGATATCTCATCCTGCTCCATCAGGCTGAGGGCAAATTCCCCAAGGTCCCGCCAGCGTGGTGCCACTCAGGAGACCTGGCCAAGGGATGTGCACTTCCACAACTTCAGGAAAGGAGTTGGTGCTGGAGGCAATGCAATCACCAACCTTGTGATCCGCATCTTGCTAAACCATGGAGCAGCCCAGTACAGCTCCTCATCCTGCTGCCAGCTATCCCAGGGGATGTGGTACACTCCTGTTGCTCCACCAGGCTGGTTCCTGCAGGACTAGCCTTCCCTGTACCCAACAAATGGAAGAATTGCCCTGGTCTTCGATCCCAGCTGGTGAGACACATGCCACAGCCCCAAGGAAGCCAGCTCCTGGCATACATCAGCCTCGCAGGAGGACACAAAGCTGCCACAGGACACCTCACCTCTGAAGCAGGACATCCCATCTCCTGGAGCCAGCTTGCTCCTTCACACCAGCGTGCCCTGCACCAGCTCTGCCCTTGGCAGCATGCAGCACTGCTGGAGTGCAGCTTTCATAAACCTTTTAATGACATTATCCCAGCCATGAGATCAGATCAGCAGCCTGGGCATGGCTGCAGATCCTATTCAAAGCAGTGTCAGCACAAGCTCTGCTTCATTTCAACAGCCTGAGCTGCACTAACGATGGGAACAGGCTCTGTACAGTGGTGGAAACACCCTGTTCCCTAGAGGAAAGCAATTCTTCTGCCGCAGGCAGCAGCCCAAATGTCAAGATAAGAGCTGTGATCCATTGAGGGACTCAGATGCCTCCTGAGTCACTCCATGGGCAACGTGAAACCAATGAAGAAGTGCAGTGTGTGGAGACATTTGCTGGATGTCTCTTCCAGCTGCCCTTTGGGGATCGCAGGCCTGCCACTGCTGCCAGCTTCACGTTTAATGCACATTGCAGGATATGGAACATCACTACGGGGACACCAGAACACTGTGCCACATCAGCTGCTGGAGCCCAGCACAGCTGCACACCTTGGATGAGGAGCCCTGTTGTGTTTTCATAACCTTCACTCTGCTCCACCCTGGGCGATGTGAGGGTCAGGGAAACAGCCTTGCCCCAGGGCTGCCAGACAGAGGGCTCCAGCACTGCCCCTCCAAATCTGCACTTACAGAAGGGGAGTGATGCTGGACCCTGACAGCACATGCTGAATGGGCCTCACTGGGAGCCCATGTCTCACCCCCGTACCACAGAAAAGCCATTCATCACTCCCTACGGAGTGCCCAAGCTCTCCCAGCACGCTCTTCTGTAAATCCCAGCAGGACCATCAGGTAGCATTTTCCTTGCAAAGCCAAAGCCTCTGATGGGAGCCCCTCAGCCAGTGCTTTTCTCTTTGTGGGAGGTTTGGAGGTAGGATCCAAGTCTGCTGCTGGCACACCATGAGTCCACCATCCCCTTCTGCTGCCTCTGCTTCCCATGTGGTCAGCAGTACAAAAACCACCCCATCGTCTCAGCCAGACTTTCTGCCCCTCCCTGCACCATGACCAAAGCTTGGGCTGCCTTGCAAAGAAGATTGCAGAAGACCAACATGTTCCATCCACTTTCCCTTAGGACCTTTAACCAGGCTTTCCTGGCTGATGTGAGGAACAAGTCACCCTCTAGAGACTCGCACCCTCAGCAAAGAAAGGTGACGTCAGAGTGTAACGACCCTGGGAATGACCCCACTTCTCTTGGGCCTCTGTTTATTCCTTCTGCAACAACAAGTGATCCTGACAAAGCCCAAAACCATCAAAATTAAGTTCATTTCCAAATTCCTCTCTGTTGAGCTATGAATCTTGGCATTAGCAACCTCCACCACCAGCAGCTCCTGTCCCCTGTCCCTCTGAGTCTCACTGTTACACATGGCCAAGCAGCCCAGCGCCTATGGGACACACAAAGCAGGGAGCCAGCCTAAGCTAAGGAACTGCTTAAATCCCGCTTTCTACCAGTCATTGCCTTCCCAGCGAAAACAAATGGGAGGTAAGAGACTGTCTGCCCAGCCCAGAAGCTGGGCTTGAGCCAGTGCCAATCCCTGGCGAGGCACAAGGGGAGGCAGAAGAGCAATGGCAGAGCCAGAAAAGGCAGACCCGAGAGCAGATTTCAGCACAAACCAGGTTTGCCAGGATTGCTTTCACTGGAGCTTTTACCAGTCTCTGGAGGGTCAGGCTGGAGTGCCAGAGCCTGCTGTGCCCTGGAGCCATGCAACGTGCTCTGCTCATCTCCTGCACCACAGATCACAGGGGCCAGGAAAGAGAAGGGGAGAGGCACAGCCTCGCACAAGGGAAATAGCAGCCGGCTGCCCAGGCTGACCTGGGGCTCCATTCTCTGTGCAGCACTACGTCCGTGCCTTTTTCGACAGCTGAACAACGCATACTCTCAGCCAAATTCAGTGAAACGTTAAAAGGAAATAAGCAGGAATAAAAGAAACTCACTTTAAAATATTTCCGTTTCTTCCTGATGTGTTGTGACGGGGACTGGCTTGTCTTTCAGAGTAAGTTGGACCATCCCTGCCCCAGGGCTGGGCTGCTGTGTACACTCAGCACAGACAAGAGGAGGGTGCAGGTTTTGTGGGGACACATCCCCCTCCCCGACTAAGCCTCATCCTGCACACCCATGCTGACGCGCGGGGCAGGCACTTACACAGCTCCCAGCAGAGCAGCAGCTATCAGCGCCGCCCTGGCTCTGCCCACCTCCCTCTGCAACCCAAGAAAAACACCCGCTGCTTGCAGGATTTGGGTGGTGCATGCTGGGTGCTGGGTCAAAAAGATGGAAAAAGAGGGAAGATGGTCCCTGCTCCTTGCACGGCCCAGAGGACTGTGGCAATGCCCATGGCAAGGGCAGGTATCCCGCTCCCTCACATATGCTCAGTGAGGACAGGACTGCATCCAGCACCCAAAGAGATGCTCACAGGGCAGGGTGCTGCAGGACCCTGGCTGCAAGAGGAAGGTTCTTGTGCATATCCAAACCTGGCTGCCAAGATGGGGTGAGTTTGTCACCCTCTGTGGCACATGTCCCTGGGTGCTTCCCAGCATCCCTGGCAGAAGGGATAAGCCACGGTAGGGCAAAAGGCTCATAAATCACACTTCAATAATAATATAATCTCTGACTATCTTGGAACTGTTTGCTGTAAAATATGGTGGGTTGGGATGTCAGGGACAGCAAAGCAGCACATGAAAAGTCCCTGTTTGCAGGATCCTGGCTGGGGATGGGGCTCACAGCCCGGGGGTCCTTACTCCGGCTGCAAAACAGGAGTGGCTCTTCTCTGTCCCAAAGCCGAGTGCACCCGCCCAGGGCGGCCAGGATCCCAGCGAGGCGGTGACCTTCACGTGGAAATTCCCACTGTATCTAGTGAGGAAGCCAGCCCTGTCACACTGGAAACATGGGCTGGTGTGGTGCTCATCAGCCATGCTCGGCTTCTAAAGCAGGAAGACAGAGCATTGTAAAGCAGATTATACTGATTTGCTTTCGCACAGTGCAACGAGCGGCAGAAACAGGAAACATCACAATGGTTTTCAGTGTACCGGAGATGTCTCAATTGTTATACTCAGCAATACGCCTGTTCCTATTAATGTGCCATTCAGTTATTTAGGAGACCAACAGAAAATCCCTGCCAAAAGAGACGGACATCTTTTTGCTCCTTCCACCCGTCTTTGAAGCAGCCCTGCCCAAACCAGGAGGGTGAGCTGCCCGAAAACCAACTGTGCTGGATTCCCAGCGTACAGGGGGTGGTTCAGTGCTGCAGAGACAAACATCCCCTTCAGAGAGGCTTGTTAAGCTATTCCAGATGTGATCTAGCCAAGTTATTACAGCAACAAGGAAATAAGTGGCAGAAAACCACTCCCGAAATCCAACCACTCTGCCTGAAGTTAGGAGGCACCGAGCCTGTGCCAAGCTGCCAACAGATCTTTGTGCACGGAGCTGGGACCAGCACCAGGGAAGCTGGTTTCTTCAAGGAGGTGGACGAGAGCAGGGTTATTCAACAGCCTTTGAGAGCAGCTGGGGGCAGCACGCGCGTGTGCTCCAGGAGCAGACACTGACCAACAAGCACTTCAACAAGGAACAATTCCTTTTGTCCATTTCTTAGAAATAAGCAGCGCTGAGAACAAACTCAACAAACCCCAGGGAAGCTTCAATGGCTTTTCTAAATGGCTCACGCCGTGGTGCCCCGTCTCCCTCACTGTGTTTCCGCCCCCACCAAATGGGTCAGTGAATAAATCTCGAAGCAAAAACATTGTTGAAAATGGGAAATAACAACTGACAGGCATCCCATGGTGTCTGGCACAGTGCTGCAAATCCCCAGCACGGAGGCTCACAACAATGTGGGGCACGTGGAGAGACACAGCTCATCCACAGAGCTCACTGCTCCTCTGGGGAAAGTCATGGGAAGTGGCAAAATTCATCCAGAAAATGATCCCTTTGGAAAAGCAGCCCAGATATGGATTAATACCTTTTGGTCAAGGCCATGAGACTGCATAAAGATATCAGCTCATACAGTTACAGAGTAATTCAGGTTGGAAGGGGCCCCTGTGGTGGTCTCTAGTCCAAGCCCCTGCCCAAAGAACCCAGATCAGGGTGCTTAGGGCTGTGAGCAGCTGCATCCTGAACACCTCCAAGGATGGAGGTCCCACAACCTCTCTGGGCAACTTAATATTTGACCAACTTCACCATAGCAAAGTTTTTCCTTATAGCTAACCACCACTTCCCATGTGGGGTCCTGGTCCAGCGATAGGTACTGCCGGGGCTCGAGGAAAAGCCAGGGCATCAGCCCACACTGAGGCAGTCGAGCAACAGTAAACAAGCCCATACACAAAAAGCAACTGCACCATAAAAGGAACACGGTGGGTCTGGGCCTGGGGCCAAGAAGTGGTGCCACCATAGCAAGAAGGATGTGGTAGAGCAATTGGTTTGTTCCTCTTTTGACCCTGAGAAGCTAAAGGCCATCTTTTATACAGTCTCGGCATTTCAACTGAAGTAACTGATTCCAAGTCACCCCCCTGCCTTAGAAGCACTCCCTGAGCCCTCAGCTGGATGTGAAAGCCCAGCCAAGGTGAAGACAGTAAGGGCATGGTCTGCAGCCTCCCACCAAGGCCAGGGTTTGCTCTTTCCTCACCAGTGGGGTGTGCGTGGGGGAGGGATGCTAGTGCAGAGGAAAATCGTGGGTGGTTGAAGGGAGAAGTAGCAAAGTAAAGGTCAGTAGGGCTTAGCCAGACTCCCTTGGAGACAACCTCTGAACTCTCTCAAGGCACCATGGGGGAAACCTCAAGACTTCACTTCCCTTTCTCAGCCCTGGTAAGCCCCCGCTGTAGGCAGTATAACACCAGCAAGGGAAAAAGCACAGCACAGCAAGACCCTGAGGAATGCCAGCCCCAAATCCCGAGACATGCACCCAAAAAGTCCTGGAAATTGGCACTATCTGAGTGCCCTGAGGTGTCCCAGGGGATGGAGCTCCCAGGGACCGGGTTAATGCAGGGATGGGAAGGATGATGCTGGCCCCGCAGCCCAAGGAAGGATGATCTGCCAGCACCAGTTGAACGGCACTGTTGCTACTGTGCTGATGCTACTGTTAGTGGGGTGCTGTCCTGCTGCTGGCCAGAAACCCTTATAGCTAGTGGCCCAGAAAATGCCCCAAATGTCTCCAACTGCTGCTGCAGACACTCACCCTCCTGGAGCTTGACACTCTGCAGGTAGAGAGGGTTCCTCAGCACATTGCAGCGCCCCGGCTCATCCTCCTTGGTAAAGAGCAGCAGGTCAGAGTAGACAAAGAGGGTCACCTGGAAGCACAAAAGCAGCAAAGAAGAAGCTATAAGGAATTTATCTCTTGGCACTGAGACGGTGTCCTGGAAAGGTCCTCTACCCTGGGGAGATACACCAGCCATGACAGTCAGCCCAGGCACCCCTTCCCTAAGGGGCTGATTCCTGCTACACCCCTCGGGGTGCTCCCAGCAAGCTTTGGATGAGGCTCCCCCGGCTTGGCAGCCACCTACCGAGGCTTGTGGAGTCCCGTGACAAGAGGGATAAACCTGCCCGACAGTCTAACACCACACAAACACACCCTCTCTGCTCTCGTGTCACTTCCCATTTACATAAGTTATAAATCAGAGGACCAGGAGGAGGGAATAAGCTCCCAACTAATCCCAACACACTACAGAAGTTGCAACTTAAAAGCAAACATGATCTCCCTGAACACACTCACAAAGGAGCTTCTCACTGTTCTCAGTCTTTGCATGCCCCATTTCACTCCATTTGAGAAAATAACAGTTTGGCTTTTACAGCAGCAGAACCCATGAGAGCAGTTGCAGAGAACTTGACACCTTTAAACCATGCTGACGGGTGGAAAGCAAACACTGAACCAAGTGTCTGCCCAGCTCACTGCTTGAGCAGCGACTCAAATGCCCTAGAAGCTGGGAGCTACTCTGGAGCAGTGGTAAGTGCTCACAACTCAGAAAGTAGATTTTGTTTTGCTTCTGCCTGAGGTCTTGAGCTCAATCAGTACAAATTAGTGTCACCTTTAAAATAAGAAGCATGAGCTTCTCCACCATACGGGAGATCCTTGAGCCAGAAGCCTACTGGGGGATGAGTAGCTTGGTGCAATCACTATGCTGGTAGTCGAGGTTTGAGCCTGTCCTGCTCTCCAGCATAAGTTGGGGGCATGCAGCAAAACTTCAAAGATTCCAGGAAGTGTCTGCAATATGCCCATGGGCATACTGGATGCTGGACTGCCAAACCACGCACTGCTCTCAGCACAGGATGCAGCATATGAGCAAGTGGCTGCTTTTAGCTGCTCCTAGACATGCTCCCCAAAACCTCTCACAGCAAAATGAAATCTGCTTTGCATTACTGAGCAACAGCAATGAAGGTTTTGTGGCCTTTTAGTAAACCTTTTGCAAAAGCAGCAAACAACTCGGAATCCCAGAGCCTTACTGGGAGCTGGCACCACTGACACCACCAAGCCACCCTTTGAAAGGTGACTTTGCTCTGGAGAGGGACTGAGTCACTGTTTACAGGGACACTGCCAGTACAATTTGTCTCCATGCCCATGACAGACACACATCAGGAGGATGACAAGCCGGGTAACAGTTTATCACATGGTGGCGAGTCTCACATCACAGCAGCAGCATCTGGCTTTGAAACCAAAATCAAGTCCTTGACACAAGATTTCTCCTTGCTGGGCAAATTAATTTTTGTGGGATTCTTAATAAGCACAAAGCTACTGACGTAACTTTAATTGACAATGAAACCAGGGAGTGTCTCTTTTTTTCTGTATTATTTGGAAAATCCCTTCATCTGCTCTCAACATACAGTTGGCCTAGTGCCCACATTCACCCTCTTCATTACTTCTGAGCTGATTATTAATAGAAGGAATAACAAAGTACAAACTGCACTATAAACTTTCTCCCATGTCCATCTTGTTCCAAAAGGTAACTTTTCTGGGACATAACTGGTGCGATCCCAGGTCCCTCAGCCTCAGAGATTAGATGTTCAGGGATTTTGAGAAGAGCAGCACAGCAAAGTGAAGGAGATAAAAGCATGATCATCAAGTGGTCATGTTGGAAATGGAGGAAAGAAAATTAAGACCTAATACACAAGGAAGTTTAAAGGGTAGAAAAAGATTAGAAGGAGCAGCAGGAGAAAAAAATCACTTCAAAACCAAGCAGATTTAAATAGGGAATCATGGAAATTGAAATACACGAAAATTATTTACAGGTAACATTGTGCTTTTATGGGAAGACAGGACTGACTGAATTCAGGATGTAGAGAAATAAAAGCGCAGGCAGCATGGGTTATGTAAGAGCATCTCTATTAGATGCTGCTTCCAGAAAGACACTTGATTTTAGAACAGCTCCACACAAAACAGTTTACAGAGGTCCCTCTGCTCCTCCAAGTTGCTGGAGGAAGAAACTGAGGGTGTCCCTTCCACCCAGACAGCCAGTGCCTGCCAAGAGCATCCCAGCACCATCCGAGGCCCAGGGCTCCAGCAGACCCTGCTCACAGAGGGACCTCACCTGCAGAGCTGAGCACAGGAAACTCGAATCACGGATGGCCCTATGGCACAGCCAGCAGGTATAAGAGGGGAAGGCTGGAGTGAGTAATCTGGAGCTCTGCCTAGAGCTGCCATCACACTGCTGACAAGCTGTAACATGTCTCTAACAGCCCTCTGCAAACAGATCTGTTATCTACCATGACAAATCACGGGGCTCATAACAGCAAAAGAGCAAACAAAAAAGAAACATAGCACCTGAATTCATCCAGGCAAGACACAGAATCCATCAGAGTTGCTCCTTGGAGAGTCAGAGTATCTTTGTGTATTTCCCAGAACTAATTTCCTACCCCAAAATCAAAAATAAAACTGACATGATGAAAACACTCCTCTGAAGACAGAGATAGGCCCACCTGTGTTATTGCTAGAGTGATCAAGGCCAAATGACAGTTGTCACACAAACCTTTTAGAGGAATGTGAATAGATTTTACAGGGAGACAAAAAATATTCATAGAGGCTGACACTGGTGTCTTGAACGTGTTCATCTGCGTGTGCTCTGCACCGTGGCAAACAGCAAAACCTGTTCTCTGATAGACTTGACTAACTACAGAATATAACTGGCAAAGCACTGTTACAGAAGGAAGGGGCACATTTAAAGTGTTTCCTAAAAGAAAACAAGAGAAAATGAAAGCCAGGAGGGAAGGTGGAAAGCCATAGGTTAGTGTGCTTCCCCAAGATGAGAACAGATCAACACTGGGACTGCTACCAAGCCCCACCACAGGAAGGAGGAAGCAATAACCATGCTTTGTAAAGCAATATGGTAACAAAAACATTATGAAAAAGTGCTCAGAAATTAAGCCTTGCAGCCAAAGTACCTTCACATTCAAGCTTAAGAATAGTTAACTCTCTTCCTAACCCCATCCTTTTCTGCTCACCTATGCAGAGAGCCACCACCACTTGGGTTACAGCAGGGAGGAGTTGTAAGTGCAGCAGCACATCAGCAGAGACACCGGCAAAACGGATCAGAGCAAACCCTGCCTGCTTGTCCCAGCGCCCGGGAGGAAAAGCCTGAGCCAGTGGATGCTTTCCGAGACATCGCCCCCTCTCTCTCTCTAACAATAGTCTCATACCTGTGCCCAGCAAAACAGAGGGAGCTGAGGAAGCAGAGTGAAGCCGAGGCAGATCTTTTATGATAGAGCTGTCAGATGACAAAAGGAGAACATGGTGATGATCACCTGCATCGCCGGCCAGAGAATGCTGCCTGCACCTGGCTACAGAAGTCCTGTAATCATTGACTGGGAGCTCTTCTGGCAGGTACCCACCCCTAGGACTGAGCCACACACATTTTTTATTTGCCAGTACTGGATTCTTCTCCAGAAGAATTGGCTGCAACCCCAAAGAGAAACTCCAGGGATACCAGTATGAGGGTTTTACCTGCAGAGCTCATGTGTCCCCATTCATTCAGTTGAGTTAAATAGATGAAGCTTTCTTAATCTTCCTCAAATTTTTCAGATCTTGCTTTAGCCCTCTTGTGAGACCATCTGAATTCTCAGCATCCTCTACAAAGCAGACATCACTGTTGGACTCATCAGACCAAGAATGATGCAGCTCCCCACATACAGGGTGGTATCACCCAGTCACTTCTATTCAGTGCTCCCCTGATCGTATGCTTCAAAGTGGTGGCTTTTTTGGCTACAGCTTTGCACTGGCAGTTACTCAGTTTTCACAGAGACCAGAGCAGTAGGAGAACATGATTACAAGTAATCAAGTTACCACAGCTTCGTACATTAGCATCTCAGTCAGTTGACCCCCCGTCTAAAAAGAGAAGCAGTCTAGGCTTTGCAGGTGGGGTAGGTGCACACACACAGGCATGGCACTTCCACGATGGGCATGAACTTCACAGATCAGGGAAACTTTCCCACCCTTCAGTGATACACTGAAGCCTTTGAGTCATTGCTTTTCATGCTACAGCCCTAACTCTCTAAGAATGACCTGCTCCGTTGCTCCTGGATTTCTACTTCTGCATGTATCCATATTAAACACATGTTCTCCAAGGCTTCTCAGCAGTCTTTTAGCCCACAATGCATTTACCCTCCTTTACCACCTCACATATTTTTTTTCTGCCAGGATTTCTGGCAAGGAATTTATACACTCAGGAAGGAGTTAATAATGCTCAGCTAGAGTTTGATGAAGATAAACCTCCACGTTTGCCAAAAGGAGATCCATAGTGAAGGCTTTAGCTGTAAACCTTGAACCTCACCTTGGCTTACCCAAGTCAAACATTCTTCTACCATAAGCATCAGGGGAGAGCAGGCACTGAATACCTCAAGGGGGAAGCTAGCATAAGCAGTGGCTGTGCAGATGGGGAAATGGTATAAAAAAAATGAGGAAGGGAAGGATATTAAGAGCAGTAAAGAAGAAGGGACAGAGTAAGTGGGATTAGAGTGGTGGAAGGAGAAGGTAAGTACAGTTTTCTGATATTCTCACTCAAATGAAAATGTCTAAAAAAGGCTGAAAACGAGATCTTGAAACATAGTGCCAGGGAGTAGGGTTCTGGTCAACCCAATGTGTTGGCCAAACTCAGCCACCCACTGAAACAGGGAGCTGGTAACTCCATCCCAGGCCAGGAGTGCCAGGAATTTGCAGGGCAACAGCTGAGATGAGAGAGAAAAGCCTCTTGCTCTGCAGAGAAGAACATAAAACCTGGGCATGTCAGTCCATGTCCTCCAGACTCCTGATAGAGCTGAGGGCTTTCAGAGTTCAAGGGAGAACCTTCCTGACCTGTAGACCCTGCCAGGATGGCAGAAAAGAGAGCTGAGAAGGGACTGAGCATGGCACATGCTGTGAAGGAACCTCAGGGCTTTGGAAAGTTTCCCCCAGGCACATTAGAGACGGACCAATAAGGACTAAGCCCATGTTAGACACCTTGTGTGCTATCACCTGCATCACACTGGCTCCTCTAGCACTTCGCAGGCTGGAGGGATGGATTTCAGAAGACCATAAAAGCGAGAATTGCAACAGTCTAGACAGGATGTGATTAAGGCCTGAATAAGGATTACCCCAGAGGTAAGGTCAGGGAAAGGACAGATCCTGGCAAGCCTCCAGAGAGATAGGTTGACTCCTTCAGGAGATGAAAGAGTTTGCTCAGTGATGAGGATGCAGTGCCTGACATGGAAACTGCCAAGGGGGAAAAAAATCTGTACTTTTGAGAAAAAAATGAAATGGGACCTCCATCTCCAGCCCCTGCATCTGCACCCTCCTCTCTCAAGCCACTTAGCCAAAGCAGAGTAACATACAGAGTCCTGCAAAGCACAGGAGCAGCAGTTCAGTCTGAGAGAGGCTGAGGGGGAAGAGCCGTGGGAAAATGGAAAACCACATGGAGCAAGGAAGAAAGGACCAACCAGAAACAAGGCAGCCTCTGTTCAGGCAGCAGAGAAGGCTGAAGAGGGAGCAAGCTCAAGTTCAGCATAAAGAGAAGTCAGAGCCCTTCTTTACCAGTGAAAGCTTCATTGCGTCCAGGCCATTTTCGGTCTTGCTAGCCTCAGAAGTTTGGGTTCTCCTGTCCCAGAGCCCATCACGACCAAAGCAGACCTGCACTGATTCCTTGAAGCTCTGCAAAGCCTGCCATGACCCTGTGACACACTGTAGACAAGAGAAAGCCCTTCTCCAGGGATATGGCTGCTGTCCCAGTGTTGCTACCTACAACAGTCAGCTCCCAGCAGTACAGGGCTCAGCACCATGCCTGGGTTCACACCAAGGGAAAGACTCCTGCCTTCCAAAGCAGATGCTGCCACATGCTTGTTCCCATTCACTGCTTCTATTTTTGCACTATGCTTAGTCACAACCTCTTGCCTTGCCCCTCTGACAAGCTTACACAGACACCACAGCCTCGAGGCACCATCAAACACTGTCTCAGGTTCCTGGCCAGCCCACAGGATCCTGCTCTTTCCTGGCAGCAGCTCCAAGTGAGAAATCCTCTTCCAGCCTCATGCTCATTCTTAGGGCATTGTAAGCAGAGTCCTTTCCCTGAGAGATCCTTCTGATCCTGCCCACAGCTGGGTCTCTGAAATGGCTCATGTGGCCATTTGGAGAGACAGAAGCACACCTCTTCCAAACATGCTCGTCCTGAGGCTCTCCATTGTCTAAATATGAACACCCCCATACTCACACATGCTCCCCCCAGGTTGCAAACAGCATTAGTTGTCCATAATTATTCCCCATTTGGCTGCTACTACAGACGTCTGTTCTGACCTGAAAGCAAACAACTCCAAACCACCCAAGCGAGGCATCCTGACCTCAGGCTGGCCACCATATTTCCAAGCCAGCACAGCACAGCTGTGCTACACAGCCATGTGTTTACCTGATTTTCATTCATGCAGATGCCCAGAAGACCCTGAGCAGTAAAGAACAGCAGGATAGACAGGGGAGGAGTTTTATTTACATATCAGTGCTAAGTTTCCAAATGGATCATGCAATTTTTCATGTACATTGGGGAAAAAAAAAAAAAAAAGTTACTCAAGTCAAAGCAAGGGATAAATTATACATTGAAAACCAGGAAGAGAGAGGAACCACTTAAAATAACACAGTCTTGTACTGTTTGGTACAGGCCAGCGTGATGACCTGTCTCTGGGATTCTGCTGTCAGCCACCCAGAAGATGTTACCCAGAAACTAAGATTAGTCAAGTAAAAATTTCTTTATGGTTCTGTGAGATGACACATGGTTCACTCTACCTAAATTCAAAACAAAATTTTTCTGTACAATGGTAAGATTATCTGAAAATGTCCCAAAAGAAATTGCAGTTTCCTCCAGCACTAGTGAGCAATGCATTGAGTGGGCTCTCCCAGCTGCTGCTTCCTCTGTCCCAAATTCCAGGGCTTTGCAGACTTTACAGCTGGATGCAAGTGAAGCCAGCAGCAAATATCGACATGTCCAAACTGCCAGTTTGGATGTTGAAAGTTGTCACATGCACAGGTTCAGCATGCAGCCAAAGCTCAGTTGTTTCCCCAGATTTTTAACAGCCCTCCAATAAGATTGCAGAAAAGAAGCTGAAGTAAGAAGGAAGAAAAGAATTTGGACAAGACATGTGACCTGCTTCAGGAACTAAATTTCTGAAAACCCCTGTAACAAGTTCTCTGTCTAGTTCTCTAATTTTGTACAAAATAATCTTAAACTCCCTCTTTCCAAGTCTAGCAGTGGCCCCAACTGCTGGGCTGTGACTGGCACGCATTTGCCATGCGCAGTTTCTTCTTTGTGAGCATGAAGGAAAACGAGAAAAAAAGTTGATTTCTAGCAGAGAAGAGTTTTGATATTTAGTTCATCCCATCCATGATGAAACTACACGTTTTTCCAAATATCATAAGTAGTGCACAATATTTCCCTTCTCAATCTACTATGTAAGACTGCAGAAGAGCACATTTAGAAAGCATGGAAAGAGTCTTACCTGTATAGTCCTGCTTCTGCTCTCATGAAGAAGCAGCTCCTCTGACAGAAGCAGAGTTCGGGCTGGGAAAAAAAAAAAAAAAAAAAAAAAAAAAAAAAGAAAGAAAGAAAGAAACAGTCAAACCTTCCACTGGAAGTGTGGTTTGTCAGAAAAATTTTCCACCCACCAAACCCACTTTGTCTTCACTTTAAGCTGTAACTTGTTCAGGGAGAAGTCACCCCACACTGTGCTCAAAAGGACAGAAAGTCTGCAGTCCAGCTACACGATAAAAAGAAAGCTTTACACTTAACACCTACGTCAGACCCATCTATAAAAAGACAATCAGCCACTTGCCTCTTTGTACGTTGACTGTTCTACACAGTGCAGGCTTGGTTATGGGTGCTTTTTAGCAGGAAACACACCCACAACAGTGGCAGGTTAGGTTCTCATGTCCCTCAAGCAAGAAGATTTGCTACAAGATTTTATGGATTACTCTTGAGTAAGTTAAAGCAACTTTAAGGGGGCTGCCCTTTCTCATGCCGCACTGCACATTCAGCTTCCCAGTCAGTACCTCCTCTGTTTAACGCTGGAGAAGGACAGGACCAGTTCAGTTGTCCCAGCTGCAGAACAAACACTGCAAAACCAGCCCAGGACAATCACAGAATCCCAGAATCATCTCAGTTGGAAAAGCCCTTGAAGCTCCTCCAAGAACCTCACCCTGACCGTTCCCAACACCCCCAGATCCCTCAGCGCTGGGTCAGCCCGACTCTTCAACCCCTCCAGGGATCCTGGGGACTCCCCCCTGGGCAGCCCATTCCAACACCCAACAGCCCCTTCTGCACAGAAATCCTTCCTCAGAGCCAGCCTGACCCTGCCCTGGGCAGCTTGAGGCCATTCCCTCGGGGCCTGGCGCTGGCTCCTTGGCTCCAGAGACTCATCCCCCCTCTCTGCCCCCTCCTGTCAGGGAGTTGCAGAGGGCCAGGAGGTCTCCCCTCAGCCTCCTCTTCTCCAGACTGAACCCCCCCCAGTTCCCTCAGCCGCTCCCCAGCAGACCTGTGCTCCAGACCCTGCCCCAGCTCTGTTGCCCTTCTATGGACACGCTTGAGTCACTCAATGGCCTTTTTGGGGTGAGGGGCCCAAAACTGAACCCACTCATCGAGGGGCGGCCCCACCAGTGCCGAGTATGGGGGTGAGATCCCTTCCCTGTCCCTGCTGGCCACGCTATGGCTGACACAAGCCAGGATGCCATTGGCCTTCTTGGCCACCTGGGCACACTGCAAGCTCCTGTCCAGCTGGCTGTCAATCAACCCCCCCAGGTCCCTCTCTGACTGGCAGCAGGAGCAAAGCATAAAAACCAGTTCCTTAAGAGGCTGAAACAGCCCAGACTCAATCCAATACATAAGTCTGAGGAGTGCAGAGGCACAAGTGCCAGCTGTGTCCTTACCAAAAGGCAAACTGCACACAGCCAGGGCTGGTGAGTGCACTGGTGCTAACATGAACAGCCACCTGCTGCGATCGGGGAGGATGGAGGTGAGCATAAGGCTGCCCCCCAGCACCATCCCAGCCCCACATGTGCCCCAAGCAGTCTGCTGACTCAGACTGGAGTGACAGACAACATAGATCATGGATCTCAGCCCAAAGGACATCTCCAGTCTGAGCTGACACAACAGTGCCATTGCTGCTAGCAGGGGAGGATGGATGGTTCCCCACGGACTCAGAGATGAAGGTATCCATCAGCAACACACTTAAACATAGAGGATCAGATGAGGTTTTCTTGGGATCTGGCCATATGAAGGACAAAATGGAAGACACAGAGGTAGTTAGAGCTACTACCACCAAATTCAGGGATAAGTTTTAAGAAAGCCATCTATAGAACTGAGGAGCGAGAACATCCTCTGTCAAGCCATTACTGCTCTGGACCCTCATCCACGATTTTAGCACTGGCCACAAGCTAAACTAAAAAACTTCTGTTTGCACACTATAATTAGCAGCACAAAGAACCCACAGGAAGAAACCATATTGATCTTCAGTTATGCAGAGTTGGTTGCTGAAGCCCAGAAGCTGGGACACCTTCTCCTGACAAGCAAGCACCTGAGGACCAGATTTGAAAGCTGAAAAGGGAAAAAACTCCAACAGAGAATCATCTTGACAGGGCACAATTCCCTTTGAGAAAGTACCCAGCACTGTGCTGAGTACAACCAGCTCCAGAGGAGAGACCTGAGGATGACAGGGGATCCATACATTCATGGTGTATACTGCTGGGAAATAGATCTATGACAGCCTGGACCCAACCTACAGCAGCAAGCTCTGATACAGCCTGCTGGGCTGGGCCCTGATTGCATCAGATCCATAACACCTCACTTCCAGCTGCACTTACCTGCACGAAGACAGGGAACACCAGCACTTTGGGAGCCAGCGTCACATACGTGCCATAGCTGGAGTGTGGGACGTGTGGCCTCACTATGGTATAGTTCTGGTAGTTCCCATAGCTTTTCATCGTCTGCACAGTCTTCATCAGCCTGGATTTTCTCCCAGACCCCATGTGCAATTTCCCTTTACTTGCATTTCCTGGAGCGACAGAGGAAGCAGAAAGAAACACAGAATCAGAAGAGAGCTCCCACAGAGCTGCTGCATGCTGCCAGCTCGGCTCCTGCTCTCACAGGCTGGAGGAGGACACACAAAGCCTAAGGGGAATAGCTGGAGCCGAGAGTTGCAGGGACATTCGTCACTCTGCTATCAAAGTTTCCCAGGGATTCATGAGATAACAGCACTGACTTCATTTTTCCTAATGCAAAATAAGATGTCCCTTGACATTTCTGCTCAAGAGCTACTCGTTTGCTGGACCAAGGATTTAACTGGATCACACCAGCAGCACAAACACATCTATGTATGTACAAAGAAACATCCAAGGAAGTCACAGAAGTCACAGCAAGCTCAGCTGCAAGCCAGCACATCTGCCTCTGTATGGGTGTATGCCACCTTCTGCACAATTTATGAATACAGCACTTTGAAGGAAGAGAGTGGTACTATTATATGCAACTCCCTATGCAGTACTGAAAGTACAAAATAAGAAATACAGAACAACCCCAAACATGACTTTAAATGATCATTCTTGAATCACAGAAGCACCAAGGAGGTTCCCACCATCAGGGAATACCTGCCTGCACCACTGAAATATAACCCCTCCCTTTCCAGGGAGGGAAAAACCATCTGTGACCGACTCAGGGTGAAGGAAAAAACCAACACTGGAAATTTAAACCTTGGGACATTTTTATCCACCTAAGTCCTGCCTGCCCTGGATTCTGGGCATAGAAGTTAGCAAAGTGTGGGAATTTCATGTCATGGGGCACTGGGTGGCAGGTTAATCACAATTTTTAGAAGATACTAAGATTGGAGGTGTCAGAGAAAGGGACAGAAGTGATAACACGTTCATGCACATGGGATCAATCCAGGCCTTTCCAAATTGCTCCCAGGTTACTCAGACTTGGGGGTGTATTTATAAAGGATGATCTCATTTTGCTTGAGGCTGGCACAACATCATCCACTGTTTTTCAGCATTACATTTCAGTGCTGGAAAAAGTCTGAGCAGTCTGACTGTTTTTTCACTCTGTCCTTTATCGCAGAAAGCCATTATCTTCATTCAAAGGAGGGATTACACAGAAGCTTTTCTTTGCAGCCTCCCATCTCAGCTGGTCAAGCAGAGCTGTGACTTTTCCCAACAAGCCAAAACCAGCTACTGTGGCCACTCCACACCTGCATCACTAGAGGCCAGGAGACATTAGGTTGTATGTCAAACCAGTCCCAGAATCTTTAATGTAATTGATAATCCTGACATTAAAAGCATTATTGATAATTATAAACAAGTATCATTGTTCCCTGCTAGCTGCTGCATGAGTGAGTCCTTCCTTCCCTTCTTGCTGGGCAATTGCTGCTATATAGGATTTCCAAGCCCTTTCCTCCCAGCCCAGAGAGTGTCTCTGAACACATCCAGCAAGCTCCCACCAGCATTTTGTCTCACAACTTCAGGCACAGGACGTGGGGTTCTCTGAAGATGCTCTGCCTGGATAGAAGTTAGTACCATTTTCCCAGCACCAGCGCAAAGAGGTGAGAGTATCACAGACTGCTGGGAGCCGCTGCCTGTGCACACAACTCACTGTGAGCAGCGAGATGGTTTGGTGGGTGATCTGTTGGAGGCAGCAGTGCTAAGGACAGATTTATGCGTCCTCCTCCCCAGACCCATCACATGGAGCTGGGATGAGACCAACACACAGGACCTGAACCATCAAGGAGCTGCCAAGCTGCTGCCCACTGGGCTGCTCTCCTCTCAGGGTGCTGGGACAGCACAGCTGCTGAGTGAGGAGCAGCTATAAAATATTTCCTGTTAATTATATTAATCCATTAAGCCCAAGGGCCTCGGCACTCTCTGGTGACCCCAGTATACAGTTTTGGCCATCCCTGATGTCCCCAGGCCCACAGCACATGTCTCTCCTGCCACACACAAATTCCCATCACAGCTTCAACAGGACCTACCACGCTGGGGAGAGAAGGTGGGACAGGTCCGTGTTCTCCAAGAGCCCTTAACCCCAGACATGTCCTGCAACCTGTGCTCTGTCCCAAAACTCTCGAGAAACAACTCCAGCAGGAAATGAATGTCTCTTTAACCAAAACCTCATGCCTTCTTCAAAAGAAGCCCCACTGAAAAAACAAAGTATTTCCTTCCCCTCTCCCTCCCAAAGCTGACGAACCAAGCCAGCTCGGGTCCAGCAGGCGGACCTCTCCACTTGGATTTTAATATATCCTGGGGAGAAGCTGGAGCATTAGGCCATTCTCCCCCACAGCGATGTCTCAGGAACATGCATGAGCAAACCCTCCTCAGCTCCCTGCTAGAGGGGTGTCCCAGCAGAGACTCCCCAGCATCCTTCCCTCCAGCTACCCAGCCCCAGGGGTTTCTGCACACTGGCTTCTGCCTTTGCGCTGTAACAGATACCCATAACCTTTCCAAGCAGAAATGAGCCAAAACACTTCTGAACATGGCTTGGAGTAGATAAGGTCTCGTCCAAAGCAAATATACGAATCTACCCAACATTACATATTCCATTAAGTATCAGGAAATAGCGCATTTACTTTCAGATAAACACCAGCAGAGCCAGACTGTGCTCTGTTGGCAATCCAGACCTGCTGTTTACTGCTTGTTTTAACAGCCTGTCTTTGCAGGGGGTGGCCCTCATGACCTAAAAGGTTATTTCCACCTCCAAGTGCAATAATCCTGACATTTTTTCTTTTCACTTTTTCATGGTTGCACTGCCAGATAAAATCAAAACTCAACACAGGACAGATACAATCTGTCTGGGCTGTTCTTGATCTGCTTTTCCTCTTATCCCTAAATAACCTCATTTTATCAGAGAAATTCATCACCTGTACAAGTCCTGTTTTCTGCACACTGGCACAGAAACATATCCAGCCTGCCTGAAGCATCAGCTCCTGTCACTGTGTGACTGGTGACCAGCTCTGCACTGCCACGCTTGCTCAGGTTAACTAATGCATTCCTCCCTCTGAAGGCTTAACATTAAATAAACTGAAAATAATCACTAAAATTTGCTATGGGAAGAAGCCTGAGTCTTTCAAATTCCACCCTGCTGTAAGAACAAGTCCCCACGGTCCAGCTCATCTTTTCACTGGATCCACAAGCAGCAGGAAAGAGTTGCAATTATCCATGGTACAAAACATCCCCTGCAGTTGAGCTGTGGAAAATTCTTCTGGCTGCAGAGGTCAGGGGCCACAGACATACGCCGCTCCCCCCTGCCCCCCAGCATCCCCACCACAGCTTTGCCAGCCCCACACTTCACCTTCTATGGATGTTGCCCCACCTTTACAGGCAGCACAATATTTTCTAGCTGGAAATGCTGCTGATGGTTGTGCACGCACCAGGGAGGGACTGCTGAGTTCAAGACACTCCTGCAAGATCTCAGCTCTGCTACAGCCATGCAGCTCATCCTAAGGAAATCCTAACAGACCAGGGTGCAAGTGCAGCCTCCCAAAGCTCCCAAACCAATGAGCAGGCGTTTCTGCGTGGACCTCAATTCATGCTGTGCCCAGCTCTGCCACACACCTCATCCCACTCTTCCTGCAAGCCCAACCACACCTGGCAGGAAGACCCCAGCATACCCATCACAGAAAATGAGTTTATGCTTCCAAGGGTTTTTGAGAAGAGCTGGTCCAGAGACTGCCAGAGACCTTTCAGCAGCCCTGGAAATGAGCATTCCCCAGATCTGGCACATCAACTTGCACTACTGTTTGTACAAATTCCAGTCACAGCCATCCTCGCTCCCTTAGTAATGAAATGAACCTCAAAGCAGGGGTCACAGTATCAGCAGCCATCATGCACGAGAAGGGAAACACGTCACGGACAGGCCCACAGACACATCTGGGGAACTGCCACAACAACAGTGCTTAGCACTTTCACACTTTATGTTTTCATCGTGCCCCTGATGGAAAGTCCCTGCCACCAGCCTCCCTTCAGCAGCTCTGCAAGCTCCCACAGGGACCTTCTCACTGTGAGGCTCACCCGCTGACAGTAGGAGCTGTGTTCTCTGGGCCTGGGGTTAGGGTTCTTGTTTGACACAGAGACTAGGAAGTTTATGGTACCCAGAAGCCCTAGGCTTCTGCCACTGTTCTCAAAATATGAGGGACTCTGTTGCAGGACTAAGGGTAAGGGTTTGATAGTTGTAGAAAGAACATGTCTAGCTCCTCTGAGCAGTGTTTGCGGCACATTGGCAACTTACCCGCAGTAGTGTTGTTCTCTTGATAGACAGGCCTCAGCAGCTGTAAAACACAACCCAGAAAAGACACAGTCACCTGAAGTAGGCTTGAGGTAGACTGTGCAACAACCAACTGTAAATTTTAGCATGCCAAACTCAAAAAGCCAAAGCATTCCAGAGAGGTGAAAACAATTTTTGCCCTATTGCCAGCAGAAAATAATAGCAATGACTTGCACCGTGGTCTACGTGGTGGGAACACTTCCCATATCATTACTCCTTGAGTGAGCCCTGAGGCAGCATGTTGTTCACCCCAGCTCTACAGTCCTCGTGGTAAATGTTTTAGGAAATTAGTGAAAGCTCCACTAAGGGACACGGGTCTGGTTTATAAAAGTGGCATGCGCTCTAGCAAACATTTAGAGGTGATGCTCGACAAGGCTGAAGCACAGGCCAAGAGAGGATCCAGCACGCACAGCCAACAGCCACATGAAGTAACTTGAGCGTGGGGCTGGAAAGCAGCTCTACCTGGCTCCCCGGGTTCAAAGGCGCCAAGATGATGTAGTTCTGGTCTGCCGTGGAGGGGACCCGGGACAGGGGAGGCATGGTGTTCTGGCTCTGCTTGCCGATCTCCGTGTACCTCTCCCAGCTGTTCAGCACCAGCCCATCAGTCCCGTCATACAGTATGTGGCAGCTCCGGCGCTGCTCAGGCCGTGGAGGCATGGTGCTGTTCTTTTCCCGTTTGTTGGGCGGTGACTGGAGGTCATAGGCAGACTTGCAGGATGACCTGCGGATCATGCCCTCGTGTCCTGGCTTGACTTGTGGGACGAGCCTCCAGACCAGCAGTATGATCTCAGTGGGACAGTTCCTGAAAGAGATGGCACGGGGCAGGTCAGAGATGGAGCAGCAGGGAGTGAGGCACCCCACATCTTCAAACAATCATGAGCCCTGCGGTCCTTCCCCCCTCTAACACCTCTACCCCTGTATCCTCTGTTCTTCCACTCTAGAGTCCCTTCCCAGCCTCCTGCACCCCTCAAAGCCTTCCCCTTCCTGTAGCCACTCAAAGCTTCTGCTCCCCTGCCCTGGGCTCCCTCAGACAATCTCTCCCAGAGCCCTGCACTCTTGCTTTGGGTGAACACTCACCGGATTTCGTGTGCCAGCTCCACACATTTCCAGTGCTCCACAGGCTGCTCGTTCAGCTGCAGCACCGTGTCAAGCTGCTGCAGACCAGCCTTTTCTGCCGGGCCACCTGCAGAGAGAAGAGACAAATACCAGTGACCTGTTGGACAGAGAGCTGAGAGTATGAGAGGGAGCAGAAGCGCTGGGGCTAGTGAACACCCAAATAGCACAGCTTCACAGCTTGCACCACTCACTCCTCTAAAGCCAGTCTGTTTCCCCTCACATCCACACCTGAAAATGAAGTGGGGCTAGCAGAGCCTGGAGCTTCACCTTCCAACAAGCACACACACACAGAGCACCTGGAACAACGTAATAGAAGCTCTCTCAGAGCTATTGCATGAACTTCACATGGGCAGTGGAGAGCACCAGGGTACAATGGAGACACCAAGTCCATCCTCCAGGTTGGCCTTGATCCCAAGAGGATATAGTCAGGCAACTGAGGGCTCCTGTGATCCTGCTGCCCTCTGTGTCTCTGTCTGAAACACCCCCCTGGATGCTTTCCATAGGTCTCCCAACCAGCCAGACAGCTCCTCAGGTTGGAGAGGGAAGGGAACAAAATCTCTGCAAATTAATGTAACACACTGCCAAAATAGTGACACAGTGGCCTCTGACCTCATTAGAGGCAACAGAGAATTCATTAAGTGAAGTTTCTTGGAGGTGACCAGAGTCCTGCAAGGCATGGGACCTTCTGAATCACAACATGCTCTGGAAAGCAAAAAAAAGGAGCAGAGTCATTCATTCAAATCAAGAGGCATAAAAATTATCTGTTTTCTTACCAGAGTCCACTGCCTGCACACGGACTGGAGAGTCACAGCAGATTGTGAAGCCAAACCCATCACTTCCTCGAGGGATCGTAATCTGAAGAGAGACACCGGAGTCACCCTGTTAAGTGTGAAAGTAGCTGTTGCGTGTGATCAGCGAGCATCCCCCCTTCCACCCCCACGCTGCCCCACAGCCCTTGGAAATGCAGGCACACGGCATTTCTAGAAGCGGTCACAGAGCCCAAAGAAACTGTGTGAATGCTGTCACTCTGTGAAACCCACGGACAATGGGTCTCTCCCCTGCTGCAGCCAAAGAGGGGTGCAAAGGGTGCTAAAAAGCAATGCAAAATCGAGCCAAGGATCAGCAGAGAGAAATGCCACAAAACGAGTGTTTGTGAAGCATATACAAGTCTCCACTCATGATTCTTCTAAGTGTAAAGAGAGATCTGAAAAGCCATTAGAAAGGAAAATGTAACACGACTTCTCTAAGCAAGTCACTTTTTCATTTCATTTCCAGTTGGGTAATACAGAAATAGCAGCACTCCCCTGCTCCAGAGGAAACTGTGAGGATCAGCACGCTCCTGTCTGCAAGGCAGCTGTGCTGGAGCAGGCTCTGCATCACCCCATTAGCTGGGGTGAGTATGTTTTCTCTTGCTGAGTTTGGAGAGGATGGATGCAGTGTTAATTGAGGCTCATTTCTCCTCCTGATTCCAGAAGCACTGAGCTTATTAATAAAATGATATTTATTTTTTGATGTTGGCTTCCAGCAGCAGCGCAGCATGACAGTTCCTGTAAATACCTGATTATCCCCCCAAGACATTTGTCAAGATACTTGTTTTACTGGCAGAGAAAAGAAAAGAAAAAATCCAACATCTGACCTGTATTATTTTGAGAACAAACAGCCAGAGAGAAGACAAGAAATTCAGCAGAAGCTGCCAAGGAGGGGAACTGGTTCCTCGCTCCTTTACAACGGGAGGGCAAACACAGTGAGCTTTCATTTCTCTGCACCTCATCCCTGCTTGATTGCTCAGCATAAAATCAGGCTTCAAAAGAGAAACTGTACTTCCCTGGCAGGATCAGTAGGTTCAGTCCCACTACCTTGAGTATTTTTCTCTCTGGAGTTTGTTGGATTCTCAAACAGGGGAGGAGACTGCTTGGGGCTCTGCACCTTCAAATCAACCTCACATTTCAAATATTCAGCATGTGGGGATCTGAGTCCTGCAGAAGTGTTACCACTGGCACCTCAGGAGCCAGCCCAGTATCCCTCCCACCATGGACACTCCATGGTCACTTCCCAGCCCAAAGCTCTCCCGTGCCGAGAGGTCTCCCACTCCTTCTCCCTGAGCTGGCTGGCTCTTGTCCACCACCAACAGAGACACCTTCCCTGTGCCACTAAATAGCAGTTTCTCACTGCTGATGGTTCACTTTCCTCAGCTCCCACCATCACAGCCGTTACAGGGAGTCAAACATCCCTTTTTGCTGCTGTGCACAGAACTAAGAAATATGAGCATCTGACATAAACTGGAAGGTGGATGGTAAGATGGTGAGAGACTCCAGCACCACAGAGGCTCGCTGTACCCATAACTTTGTCCAAAAATGCAGAAGAAATTGTTGGAATATGGAATTGAGGAGGTCTAAGAAACAAATCACAGTCTGTTGTCATTAATACAAAGCAAAGCAGCATTCCTACATGAGATAGTCACGATAGCCCTGACAAGAAGCGGGTATTTTTAGTTAAGATGGTTCTTTGTGCAATTCCCCATATACACTGTCCCCCACCACAGCTTTTGCATGACATAAAAGATTAGCATAAAGCACAGAGAAAAACTGACCATAAGCTGGGAGCCCCAACACAGACCACGGGGATGAAAATTATGTTCAAAAATGCAGGAGACTGGGACCTGCACAAGTAAAACCAGCACCCAGCGTTGCACACTGAGCGGGTCCAAGAGAACTTGCACCAGCTTTTGTGGAGCGCAGCAATCTACTTCTCATAAAGCAAGTCACTGTTGGCTGTAAGCAGCTTCAAGCAACACTTGATTCCCAAATACCATCACATTAAAACAATTTTGAAAAGAGATAGCAGCAGCCTGGCAGAGCCTTAGCTGCCTGCTATGCCTGCATCTCCTCTAATGAGTGGTAAATTGAGATAACTCCTCACAACTTAGCACCTTCATGGTCAGCATGCTATCCTCAAATTACGCAGCAAATGCTCCCCCTCAATCCCCATTTACACACTGCAGCAACAGGCAGATCAGCTAGACACCAATCTGAAGATGCTTTCCTTGTATTCCCAGTATTATCATTTATTAATGATAGCAAATCAACACCCTAGAAAGAGCAAACACAGAGCCCAGAAATGGTAAGAAAGCCCACAAACACTCAAACTTAACTGAGACTTGCCGCAACGCGCACACACATGCTGGCACAGGGATTTTTTTCCACGGGAGATACAGACCTGTCTGTATTTCCGCTCCGAGCACACCTTGCAGAGTCCATTGAAGCGGTTCATGGCTGGAAAACCCTAAACTCGCCGTTAGCCCATGAAAATCCAGTCCCCTGAAGCAGCCGTGATCCTGATCTCCTTGTATCACACAAGTGTGGAACAAACCACAGTCAAACTGGCATGACCGCCCATGGGAACCCAGCTCCAGAGAAGAATGGCAGGAAGCCACCTTTCACCTCCCCAGCCCCTGTCTGTGCTGTATGCCGCTTTATGATAAGCCAGAGGGCTTCCTGAAACCCCTAAATGACAAGGAAGAGAGAGAGTTTTATATTAAAATTCCTGTCAACTATTTAGTATTCCCTAGTCCCTGCTCTGTTGATGTGGCTTTTGTTCCCGCAGCATTCTTCAGCTGCACGGAGCACTTTGTTATTGCAGTGTTCTCACAAACACTTTGAGGATGTTTAAGCGGCATTTCACAGGCACCGGCTGTGCTGCTTCACTTCATTAAAAAGATGGCTTGCACTGGTTACACTCGTAAAGGATGAGAGAGATTTAAAAAAAAAAAAAAAAAAAAGCAGAGTTTGTTTTTAAAAGCACAGACCCAGAGGATATGCACATCCCGATGCTTTGTGCTCAGAGAGTGACGGCGGGGGAAGCAGAGAGGTCAATTGAATTGTACCCATGGTGTAATTTGGGAATTAAAGACAAAGAGAAACTCTTAACACAGCCAGCAGCAGGGTGCAAAGCAGGACTCGCAGTCTGCACGGTGCAACCCCAACTGCCGGCGTTGCAGCGCAACCCCTTAGAGACAGGGTTGCAATGGAGAAGAAAGCACCTTCCACACTCCTACATGGGGATGAAAAAGAGAGGAGAGGCTCAAGAGAACCCAAACCCCTGGCTCCCTGGCACAGCAGCTGGGGTGGCGGGGCCAGGGAAGGCTGGGGAGGGAGCACAAGGAGCCCCGGCAGCATGGTGGGGCCGCTGAAGGCTGCCCGCGCGCATTGTCCCAGCCCGCCATGCCGCCAGGCTGGAGCTGGAAGGAGGATCGATCTTCCTTCCCAGCCACCATCTTTCAAGTCAGTGGCAACTGCCGGAGAGGAAGGGAGGAGAGGGGCGCTGGCTTTGTTTGTCTTGCTCGATCCTACGCTTTAAAACAAATAACTGAAAATGCAGCTGAGGGAAGCAGCAAAGCGGAATTCGGCACAGATAAATCACGGGGACGGCTGAGCCCAATTTCCGATGCAAACCATGTGTTTGTGTTCCCATTTCCCATCCTTGCCTCTCCTATAAATCACCAAGGCTCCACCATGGGCCTTTCCCTTCCCAGAGCAAACGGCCCTGAAAGGAGGAGGGGAGCAGACGCACCCGTCCATGGAGACACGGAGCCGGCCAGGGACTGATGCGGTGTGGCAGGCAGCCGGCCAGCCCCGTCCCCATCGCTCACAGTCCCCATTGCTCCCAGACAATGGCTGGTGCTTTGTCTCTATGGCAATATACTGGAAAAACAGAAGGTCCCCATATGGCAATGGGGAGTGAGTGTGGGGTTACTACTCACATCACTCACCTGCATCAGCTGCTGCTTGGTCGGGTTAATGAATTGCCTGTAAAAATCATGGTGTTGACAGGGAGACTGACACAGCTCTCACCTCAGCATCGCCTTCAATAATACTCTGTCCCCTGGCTCACTTGAAACCCCTCCAGGCAGGCTCTGCTGCCAGCCAGCTCTTGACCCCACATCTTCATGCCCCTGGTGGGTCACAGCCCTGTCACACCTACCTTCACCCGCTTCATGGTCACAGCATCCTGGCTCTCCTGTGCTGTACTCTGACTTCCCAGCATTGGCTCTAAAAAAAAAAAAAACAGCACACACCTGACAATCCCTTTTCTTCCACACTGCATCTAAACACTATATATAAGATTTTTACATGTCATGGGCACATCTCCTCTGGGCCGAGCAGCCCTGCATGGCAGCAGCTGTGGGGTGGTTGCACATCTGGGACAGGCAATGCTGTTTCACCCCACTCTGTGCTAGCCTGTCCTCCTCCACACACCCTGGCAAGACAGCAAGACCAAGGCAGGAGATAAAGCTCCCCACCCTCCTGCACAGAGCCCAGGAGCCAACAGGATTCAGCCCCAAGTCTGAGAGGCAGGAATCAGCATGATGAAAGGCCAAGCAAGAGGGAGAGACATGGCTGCAGTGCTGGGATCCCCACAGAGCCCCAGCAAGGCACAGGTAAGCCAGAGCAAGGGTCGAAGGGGAGAGCTGAGTGACTGTGCAGAGCCTGCTGAACCAGCCAGGATCTCCCCCACACCGCTCTTTTGGGTTCCCGGTGCCCACTGAGCATCACAGGGCTGAGAAGTGCTCATGGGAGCACACGGGCCACGGGACTGTTCCATGCAGCACTCCCTAGGACATCCCAGCAGGGAGACACACCTCTGCTCTGCTTCAGCCGCCGCATGGCCACCTTCAGGTGCTTGGTCCTGCCCAGGTCCTCCCCGAGGAGATAGTACCAGCCGCTGATCTCCTGGGTGGGAGGAAAGAAGCTGTCAGTGCAGAGGCTGATACTCACCCTTGCTTAACCCCAGAGGGGTCCCATTGCAGAAGCTGCCCCAGACTTGTTTGCACACAGAGGCACATCCTGGACTCCTTCTCTTAGGATGCAGCAACAGCTAAAATTCCATCCCCCTGCAAGGAGGGACCAAGCATCACTGAAGTAACAAGCTTCTAAGTTTTTAGAGGGAGACAAGTTGCAGAAAAACAGCCAGTCTCCAGTAAAACTGTCCATGTCGTGTTTGCAGCAGCCAGCAGTCTCACAGGGAGCACATGGCTCCAGCCTTATCACCAGAGAAGGATGCCCAAACCAGCCTTCCCCAGTGCTGGATGCTCTGCAGTGGGCTGCCTTTGCCCCTGTCCCCTACCCATGTGGCCAGGGCAGCCAAGAGGTCAGAGCTGACCTTGGCGATCCCTCACCTCTCTTCCAGGGAGCTGCTGCTGTCTCCCATTGCTCACCGGGCAGAAACCAGAGAGACCAACCATCCTGGACCAAGCCCAGGAGTCAGATGGGGTTGTAGGAACCATGCTCCCAAAGGCCAGAGAAAGGATCCTATTTTAAAATGTGTGTTTTAAATCCACAGCAAGGAAACTGAGGAAAGGGGGCAATATCCAGCAGCATCATGCAGTACCCAGGAGGCAGGGCCAGCTCATCTTAGTCCCTACTGAGGTCCCAGGAGGACTACATGCATCCTCCTCCCTTCCCTGCGAGAGCAGGGTGCTGTGCATGGGTGCTGCACACATGAACACTCCATCCTCTCTGTACACAATGACACTTTGGGAAACTCACTGCCTAAATCTGAGAAGGAAAGGACATTTCTGGGAAGGCCAAATATGACCAGAGCAGAGGCCCCTCCTGGGGAGAGCTGCAGTTTAGAGCTGCTTTGCCTAATTATCTTCACTGTTATAAAAAAGCTGTATTTCACTTGTCCAAATTTCAGAGGAGGCCATGCTCAAGCTACTTCTTACCCTCTTCTCAGGTCATTGCAACAAGTAGCTCCTTTCTAACCTCTTGCTAGGGAGTAAATTTTCACACCTCGGGTAATGTATTAACACTTTCAGTTTGCTGACATACTCTGATGTCCAGAGAAGATGACCAGGGCTGCCCAGGGGTTAAATCTCTCACTGCTGACAGCTAGGATGAAACAGTGCCGTGTTTCAGTGGGTCGGCAGGAGTCTTTTGCAGCAGTAGCTTTGCAGGCTCCTTTAGGAAGGCTAACCCAGCCGGTGTGAAAGCTGTATTACCAAGCAGCAGCCAGGCTGGGGCAGCATCACTGTGACCAAATCCGCAGCAGGGGGGACATGGATCCTGGCAGCACTGCTGCCTCCAGGAACAGCCCAAGATCTCTGCATTTGCCCCCTGCCCACCTCCACCTGAGCGGGTGAAGCCCTGGTTGCTGAGCGCAGAAAATCAGGCAGACTCCTCGGAGGAGGAGCATCTCCCCACCATCGCACCCGCCAGCAGTCCCGTGTCAGATGTGACATATGCCAGGCTGGGCGAAGCTGGCCCCAGCTCCTGTCCCCCAGGCAGCACTCACTGGGGCCACCTCTCTGTACCCCGAGCTGCCGCCGCTTTCTGTCCCTGCAGAAGGGAGTGACAGTCCCCTGTCCTAGGATCCCTCCTCTAACAGCCTCCCTGTCCCTGCCTCCAGCAATCACACCAACACCAGTCTTCCAGTGGCCATCCCTACTGGGAATGGGACCAGGGAACTCCCTGGGCACCTCCAGAGCATCTTTGTCCCAGGGTGGGAGAAGCCTGCTCCTGCCCCACGGGTGCACTACACCCCCCCACCGACCCAAGAGTCAGACCCCAGCCTCAGGCACTGTGCTCCAGCACGGAGGTACCTTGTTCAGGGACAGGAGGGACTTGACACCAAAGCTCATGCAGCCGATCAGTTCGCTCTGTCTGCAGGAGAGATGGAAACTGTCAGCACACACTTACTGAAAACTCCACAGGGACCAGCATATCCACCCCTTTGAAGGGATCCCACAAACATCCCTGCCCACACCAGGAGCCAGGCAGTGCCCAGGACATGCCTCCCTCTCCATGCTTTGAGGAAGCATGGGGTAACCACACAGCTCAGCTGCAGCAGGGTCAAGGAGGAGCTGGGCTGAAGCATCCTGGTCAGCCCCAGCCTACCTGATGCTGGCAGGAGCTTGGCTAAGGAGGCAGATGCCACTTGCCCGAGCAGGCAGCACAGCCTGGGAGATGCCAGACCCCTTGCTGCTGGGCTTTCCTCCTCACTGCATTGCCCCCAGTTAGGGAAGGCCAGCCCAGAGCCAGGCTCCAGCCCCAGCACTGCAGACATGAATGGCTTCAGGAGTTTCAAACGCTGGTCCAGCTGATGGCTACCAAGCCACAGCAATGAAGACAGAGAGCATCAAGAGCAGGATTTCCTCTCTGCCAGCCTGCACACGGTGTGGTGCTCACCAGCACGAGCTGCCCACGAGCATGACCCTGGCCAGGACACCCAGCCAGCCAGTCCCAGCCCCACTGCTTAGCTCCCCCCACTTCACCAACCAGCAGCCTTCGTGCAGGGCAGCCCTGATGGCAGGGCCAGCCCTTGAGTCCTGGGGTGCTGGATGAGCTCGCGTGGGGTGGCCAGAGCAGATGGCAGGTTCACTGCCACACCAGTCCCATTTGAAAGAGAATGCATGGCAGACTAGCAGCCCCTTACCTGGAATTTCTGTCTCGGTTCCAGACTGTGACCAGGAGACGTTTCTGTTCATGCTCCTCTTGCACCAGGCTGTAACAAGCAGAGGGGACAGCCCATGAGCACTGACCTTCCCCAGGAGGGATCAGCAAGGGCTGCCCTCACAGCTGGAGACCCCTCGCCCTCCTCAGAGTCAGGTCTTCTCCTCCATTCTCTGCAGAGAGCACTGCAGCATCACCCCAAATGGTAACCTTCTCAAACAAGTCACTGCTGCACTAATTCCCTCATTCCTGACAGACAACTGCAAAAGGACATGACCTGTCCTGGGCAGCTAGAGGAGACACTGCTCAGCTGGTTTAAGGGGAAAAATAATCTTGCAGAAAGACACATCCAACAACAAAGGGTAAATGCAAGGAACAAGCCACAGTCCATGCTCTGAAACAACCATCCTGTGCCAGATTAAATGCTGCATGGGGACAGACATCTGACACATACTGGTTAGCTAGCAGTGACCAGGTCTACTGAAACACAACGAGCCATACAACTCTTTTCCCATGGAGAGACATGTGGTAGCTATAAGGAAATCCTTTTACCTTCCTCATTCATACCGATGCCCATACTATTGCAGGTGTAAGGTCTAGGAAATGGAGTGTGTTTGCCCAACTCCTGACCAGCAATAAAGTCCAACCGCGCAGGAGCGTCGCTGCCATGCTGTGTGCTAACAGCTTTGTGAGCCTCTGCAGAGCTCTGCCCAAAAAAGTTCAAGACATTTCAGCTATAAAAACCAACAGTATAATGCCTGTCACTCCTCATCTCAGCAGCAGACCTGCTCATGCATGATGCATGCTTATTATAGACCATACTGCAAAAGCAAACACGGGGTCTTGGCTTCAAGAGGGTACCCCAGGACAGCAGCCACATGGGTCCCCCATGCTCAGTGTGAACACGGTGCTGGCAGATGTGTCAGAGCTACCTCTGTGCTGTCATACTCACAAAAGAAACTGCTCGTGGAAAACAGGATTTTTGCTGTCTGGCACAGTCTTCGTCTTTTGCCTGCATTTCCAGTCAGCATCTGGCACAATCGACATCTTCACAGAGGAAAACAAGCAGCATGTTAGCACTCTCAAAGCAAGCACTGGCACACAGCTGTAGCTCTGCCATCACAGTGGCAGGAGACCAGCACAGCCACTTTTATGGATGGCTAAACCTCAAATACACAGCTGAGCCTGTGCTAACAGGTGGTTTAGATCACTTTACACTATGTGTGTCAAGTAATTGTGTTACAAAACTCCTCAGGGCAGGGGAGGGAAGTAAAAAGAGCAGAAAAATCAAGGACTGATATATACAAATGTTGTTGGCTGGTGTCTTGACATGCAGCCCCCTGGTAGGAGTGATGCTGCCTGCACTGTGCACACAATGGTGGGAGCAGCCTGCCAAGGTGACCTCCAGGAGAACCCAGAGCTGGGCAACCCCACTGTGCTGGCCAAACACTTATCCCCATCAGTCCTTGGGCACCCAGTGGGATGCTCTTGCAATGAATGGCTGGCATGGAACTTAGCAGGGTCTTGTTCTCTGCTTTTCTAGCTCCATGCAGAGGGGTCCGTGAGCCCTCCAGCACTGGGCAAGAGACCAGCCACCTCCCTGCATGCTGTGGATGGCATGGAATGTGCTGTGGATGTGGAAGGGACAGGCAACTTAGAGGATGCTTGGAGGACCCAACCACAAAATCCCAAGAAAGCATGAAGCTCCCCAAGCAAAGCCCCAGGAGAACTCACCTTCACGTAGGAGTCACAAGTCCGGTACTCCTTTCCCATCAGACCTTTTGCTTCTATGACTGGAAAGGAAACAGAACGGTGATGCTCCAGCGAGGAAGGCATCCTCCTACACTGCAGCACTCTGCTCCATGGGGTGCTCTCTCCTTGTGGGGCCAAACCCTCCTCCTGCCCCAACAAGATCCTGCGCACACCTCCCCAGCAGACTGCTCTCATCAGGCACCCACAAACAGGTGAAGGAGTTTATCATGTTTGCTATAAATACAAGTGTCTGTGGGTGAGGTTGGTGGCAGATGCAGTTCAGCATCCAGATGGCAAATTGCATTTCATTTGCCTGACTTCACACAACTCTGGGCTCCCTGCCCCAAAGCCAAACACATCATCAAGTTAAATATCAACGGCTACATCCCAGTGGCAGCCCCGCCAGCAGGGACTCAGCACTGCACTGCTGCCAACAGCTGGGAACCCTGCGCTCCCCAGCCATGTGCCTGGAGGCAACAAATGTGCAGCAGATCTGGATAACTCAGGACCGGCTGCCTGAATGAGGATAAGCTCCCTCCTAACAATCCCAGCAAGGCAACAGTGACTTTGCCTTTATCAGACAGATATGTGCTCCTAATAAACATGGTGTGCCCAACAGACACCCCAGTGCACAAGGGGAAAGGGGTTCTGCAAGACCCTTTAGTACTACACAAAGCAGTCTGTGAGGTTCCTCCAGAACAGGCTGCACCAAGAGCTTTCTCCTCCAGCCAGACCTGCTTTGGGTTTAAAGATGTTGGGGTGGAGAATGAAAAAGTAAAACAGATCATCCCACGTCACCCAGCCTCCCCCTGCCCACACCAAGCACCATGACCACTCAGCATGTGCAGCAGGATGTTGAGTTCCAGACCTTGAGCTTCCTTTGTCTCTTTGTCAGACCATTTCCCTCTTTCCAGACCCTCCTTTGAAGACAGCATCAGAACAAAACAGTGACTCGCACCCAGCTCACACTGGGGCTGCTCTCTGGAGAGATTTGGTGTAAAGCCTGTGCCAGACCCTCAGAACCACATACAGCTTGGAGGAAGAAAAAGAAAAGTAAAACTCCACATTTTATTGCTGTTTCTTTAAAAAGCTTGCCTGCAGCCAGAAAAAGGAGCAAGCTGTCATGGCTGCTGAGCAAAGAAGGACGGGGCTGTGTGGGGCTTGGCTGGTGCCCACAGCCTCAGCCTCACCAGGCCCAGGCCATCCTCTGCCCCCAGATGATAGATGATTGATAGATAGATAGATAGATAGATAGATAGATAGATAGATAGATAGATAGATAGATAGAATGATGTATATTTCATTATAACCAGGCAGGATGGGACTGGGCTGTAAGTTGCACAGAGAGTCTTTCATATCCCTCCTGCCCTGCTGTGCAGGTCTCTGGGATGGGGGTGCTTTCCCCACAAAGGGTAGCCACCCTCGAGAGCACTGGGAGTTCCGGGGCCCTGTTTTTCTTTCACCCTACAGAGCACAAACCCAGGGCAGCAAGGAGCCTGATGTGTTCACAGGGAGGGAATTCTTGCTCTGACCATTTCAAACTTTTTTGTTAACCGTTTACTTATCATGAAGCCCTGATGAGCCTCTGGTAGAAAGCTCTGTGCCAGGAAACCAGGACACACACATCCTTCACTGCAGGAACAATCCTAAGGGACCACCCTAAGTGTCTTCAGACAGGTTTTTCTAAAGAAAAGAGCTAGTTTTCACACTCTCATTGGCCTTTCTAATGAACACCATTAAAGCTGAAGTGCTACAGTTCCCTGGGACCTGCCTCATGGCTGCCATGTAGAGTTTCCCAGACCATGCAGTGGTGGCCAAGCCTGAGTGCCCAAAGAAAGGCATCTTGTGTCCCCAGTGGGACATGCCATGGCTTAAGAGGCAGCAACCCCAGCCTGGGTCAGGTGAAATACTTTTGCTGAAGAAATGGTGCTGGTGTTAAAAAAATGCAGTGTTCTGAGGTAATGGAACTATTTGGAAAACCTGGCAAATCTGGTAAACAGTTTTGGCCAATGTAAAAGACATTTTGGAGCAAAGAACTTCAAGTTTTCTTTTTCAAATTATATTTGCCTTTTTTCTCTTCACATGGAGTTAAAGAAAAAAATGTATACAAGTGGACACAAAACACACCATGGTCACCCAGAAATATCAGTTTGGCCTCTAAATCTAAGAGCCCTGAATCATACCACTCTACCACTGAGTTGTTCCCAATGGCTGCCACAAAGCTCCAAAGAGTTTGAAGAAAAGGCTTAGAACTGCTGTCCCCATCAAGGGCCACCTCACCATACGCCCCAAGATGATACTTACTGTGCAGCACCAGGATCTGGCCCCGCACCTCGATGGACAGCTTCAGCTGGCCTGGAGGAGAGGAGAGAAGAGAAGAGAAAAGAGTGAATGACGCAGGGCTCACCCACTGCCGACAGCACTCAGCAGCCCGGGGACCCCACAGCTCTAAGGCTTGCAAGGGCCAGACCCATGCTGCTTCCCCACCTCTGGGCATGGGGGCATTGCTCAGGGAGCCAAGGGGAAAGAGGTGGGAGGAAACATCTGCTGCTGCCAAGAAAGTCATAGAATCACAGAATCGTTTACGTTTGAAAAGACCTTTAAGATCATCGAGTCCAACTGTAAACCCCACACTGCCAAGGCAACCACTAAGCCACATCCCTACGTGCCACATCTACACGTCTTTAAATACCTCCAGGGACAGTGACTCAATCACTTTCCTGGGCAGCCTGTTCCAATGCTTGACAACCCTTACAGTGAAAAAATTTTTCCTAATATCCAATCTAAACCTCCCCTGGTGCAACTTGAAGCCATTTCCTCTTGTCCTATTACTTCCTACTTGGGAGAAGAGACTGACCCCCACCTTGCTACAACCTCCTTTCAGACAGTTGTAGAGAGCAATAAGGTCTTCCCTGAGCTTCCTTTTCTCCAGGCTAAGGCTTGTTCTCCAAACCCTTCACCAGCTTTGTTGCTCTTCTTTGGATATGCTCTGGCATCTCAATGTCTTCCTTGGAATGAAGGGCCCAAACCTGAGCACAGTAATTGAGGTGTGGCCTCACCTGTGCAGGGTACAGGGGCACGATCACTTCCCCACACTATTGCTGCTACAAGCCAGGATGCCATTGGCCTTCTTGGCCACCTGGGCACACTGCTGGCTCATGTTCAGCTGGCTGTCGACCAACACCCCAGGTCCTTTTCTGCCAGGCAGCTTTCCAGGCACTCTTCCCCAAGCTTGTAGTGTCTTATGGGCTTGGTGTGATGCAAGTGCAGGACCCAATACTTAGCCTTGTTGAACCTCATACCTTGTCACAGAAGGAGATCACATTAGTCAAGCAGGACCTGCCTTTCATAAACCCATAAACTGGGCCTGACCACCTGGTTGCCCTGTCCGTGCCACATGATGGCACTCAAGATGATCTGCTCCATAACCTTCCCCAGCACTGAAGTCAGACTGACAGGCCTGTAGCTCCCTGGATCCTCCCTCCTGCCCTTCTTGTAGATGGGCATCACATTTGCTAACCCCCAGTCACCTGGGTCCTCCCCAGTTAGCCAGAACTGTTGATAAATGATGGAAAGCTGCTTAGTGAGCACTTCTGCCAGCTCCCTCAGTACCCTTGGTTGGGTGGATCCCATCCAGCCCCATAGACTTTGGTGTGTCTAGGTGGTGTAGCAGGTCACTAACCATTTCCCCTGGGATTATGGGTACTTCATCCTGCTCTCCATCCCTGTCTTCCATCTCAGGGGGCTGGGTACCCAGGGAAGAAGTAGTCCTACTATTAAAGACTGATGCAAATAAGGTATTAAGCACCTCAGCCTTTTCCTCATTCACTGTCACTATGTTTCCCCCACATCCAATAAAGGATGGACATTCTCCTTAGCCTTCCTTTCGTTCTGAATATATTTATAGAAATACTTATTAATTGTATTTTATGGCAGTAGCCAGATTAAGTTCTAGCTGGGCTTTGGCCCTTCTAATTTTCTCCCTGCATAACCTCACAACATCCCTCTAGTCCTCCTGAGCAGATGACCTTATTCCAAAGGTCATAAACTGTTCTTTTCCTGAGTTCCAGTCGAAGCTCTCTGTTCAGCCAAACTTCTTCCTCACTGGCTCATCTTTTGGCACATGGGAACAGCCTGCTCCTTGCCTTTAGGATTTTCTTCACGAAGAATGTCCAGCCTTCCTGGACTTCTCTGCCCTCCAGGACTCCCTCTCAAGGGACTCTGTCAACCAGGCTCCTAAACAGGCCAAAGTCTACCTCTGGAAGTTCAAGGTAGCAATTCTACTGACCCCCATCCTTACTTCTCCAAGAATCAAAAATTCTATCATTTCATGATTGCTATGCCCAAGTCGGCCTCCAACCATCACATCACCCACAAGTCCTTCTCTGTTCGCAAACAATAGGTCCAGCAGGACACCTTCCCAAGTTGGCTCCCTCACCAGCTGTGTCAGGAAGGTCTCTTTCAGACACTCCAGCAACATCCTAGACTGTTTCTTCTCTGTTATATTTTATTTCCACCAGACATCTGGTAAGTTGAAGTCCCCCATGAAAACAAGGGCTAGCAATTTTGAGATTTCTCCCAGCTGCTTATAGAATATTTTGTTTGCCTCTTCATCCTGGCTGGGTGGTCTGTAACAGACTCCCACCACATTATCTGCCTTGTTGGCCTTCCCCCGATTCCTACCCATAAACATTCAACCTTACCGTCACCATCATTAAGCTCTAGAAAATCAAAACACTCCCTAACATACAGGGCTACCCACCACCTCTCCTTCCTGATCTATCCCTTATGAAGAGTTTATAGCTATCCATTGCAGCACTCTGGTTGTGCAAGTCATCCCACCATGTTTCCATGATAGCAATTATGTCACAGTTTTTCTACTGCACAATGGCTTCCAACTGCTCCTGTTGGCTGCCCATGCACACATGCCCCATGTCCTACAGCTTCAGATGCAAAAAATTCCAGGAAAACCTGTTTTCTTAGAACACAGCAAACTCTGATGACAGGAGGCAGGAGCCCATGGCAGAGGGGAAGTTGAAGCACCAGCTACTGTGGGATGAATTAGCCCTTGTTTAAGAGGGATGCAGCATGCTCAAATCCTGCCCCCAGCCCAGACTCAACTTCCCTTTTGCCTCTCCCCTGAGCTTCTGTGTGGGCAAAGGGCTGTCACCCCTGCAGAAGGTGACAGCAGGCCAAGCTGCAGGCGGCCTGGATGAATGCCAAGGACAACTGGTGCCTTTGGTGTCAGAAACATGCCGGCACAGGGTCAGCCAAGGCTGGCCCCACCGGGGGACCCTGGGCCATGGCACTACCCTGCTTTCATCCACCCGCTGCTGCAGGACCTTGCACCACGCACATCTCCTGCTTGCTTGCCCCACTGCATGTCTCACGTGTCCGGGGTGGTTTTGGGGGAAACAAGAAAGCCTTAAAAATGTCTTCACTGACTGTCACATCCAGCAACAGTTTGTTATCACCAGCACTATCAAGCAGAGAAGATGCAGCAACAAGGACTAATGCAGCACTGCTCCCAGCACAAACCCAGCCCCCAGGAACCGAAGCACGGCACGAGCACCCACATTGCAGACTCCTGCACTTCCTGGGGATCCCAGACAGTATGGGCTGGTGAGCAGACAGGTAATCTCCTAAAACCAGGGGTCAATACTTGCTTTAATCTAGGATTAAACAAGAATGGTTTCAGTCATGTTTTTTGACACTGAACAATTGTCAGGTGGCCAACGAGGCCAGGAGCAGCCAAGCCCCGGGGAAGAGCAATGCTCCACCATCCTGCAATCCCTCTGCCACAGAGCCCAGGGGGGCTTGGACCAAGCAGGACCCCTGGTTCCCAGTGACACAGCACTGCCGGGGAAATGCCTGGCTCCCTGCACAACAGCAACCAGAGCTTTTGATTGAGGAGGTGGTGATAAGGGAGAGCCTTGAGGAGCTACATGAAAGAAATGTTACTTTGGATCAGGTTTGGATGGAGATCCCCCTTGCTCCCTGTGAGCTGAAAAACCAGGCCTGCGAGAAACACGGACTGAGAAAAACAGCCTGAGAGAGAGATAAAAGATGAGGCCCTCCAAGTTAAGGAATGGCTCAAACACTCGCAAGATGAAACTATAGTCATGGGGTGGATAGTGTGGAGGTTGAAGCTGATAAGACTGCCCCAACACCACAAGATTCAGCTGGAGGACGGAGCCCTGTGGAGACAGGACGGCTCTGCTCTGGTGCACCTGGCCAAATTTCAAGGGGCATCTGTCTGGTGAATGACCTTTGCTTCATTATCCATGAAATGTATATTAAAGTTAACACCCCTCAATACACTAACAAAGACTAATATAATTATGTCAATTACATCATCCCATAAAACACCTTACCCCTCGTCATACAGGGGATATGTAGGTATGTGAGTTGACCTAGGGGTCACCCACCAAGCCAGGAAGCAGGGCCTGCCTGCCTGGGGTGGCTGGCTCTCGGCTGCCAGGCTTGCCAAGCCTTGCAGGGGACCTGCTGTCCATCATCGTCATGAGCAGAGCAAGGAGCAGAGTCAGGAGATCAAAGGCAGGATGGCTCCAACAGTCATCAAGAGGCCAAAAGAGCAGATCTTAATGAGAGCACAGGGGCATCCACTTCTGCCCCTCAGTGGGGCAGAGAGTAACATAAAAGAGAAAGAGAGCTCAAAGTGCCAAGATTTAGTGCCTGAAGCAAATTATGGGATTTTACTTGAATCAGGAAATTGATCTGACTTGTTACAGGAGGACCCAGGACCTAACCTGCTCCACAGGCAGCCCTTCAGGAGAATTCTCCCCATGTAGATTGGCACAGCACAGCACAGCAGCAAGAGCTCACTGTGGGACCTGGCAGTCCCTCATGGGTGCTGCAGCACCCACCAGTACAAGACAGCAGCCCAGCAGGCAATGCTTCTATCCATCAGTGCCTTTTAAGCTACCTAAGGTGAGAGAGAGGAAGGAAGGACTTGGAGCAGAGAGAGGAGGTGGGAGGGATGGAGTCAGGAAAAACCTGACCTTACCAGAGTAACTCAGCTCAGCCTGAATATCCTCCTGGAGAACTGCTCTCAGTGTGGACTATGTGGGCAGATCCAACCTCTGTGCTCATGAGGAGTTTGTCTACTTGGGCAGGATCAGCTGAAACCTGAGTACAAAGGCCAGGGGTGCTCAGGCAGGCCTCTAAATCCAGAAACCCCTCTGCAGAGGTGCAAGGACAAGATGGGAGGAATATTTCTAAAGAAAGAATGAAGGAAGGAACATCCCAAACATGTCTTTGGCTGGTGGCAGTCAAAGTCACCACCTGCAAACACAGCATCCACAACTGCAGAATACACTGCTCGGAGCCCGCTC